AAAAAAAAAAAAAATCATTTTATTCTGATATTTGGAGAGAGATTTTCTTCATCACCAAATTCTACGACCGAAAAAGGACAAAGTCACAATTATTCATCGTAAAACAACCATTTAGTGTCATAATGACGGAGGTTAGTCACGTACCTCGCAAGAGTGACCATAATTCTTAAGGATAGCAGGTCAATAGTCATATTTCATTATTAACAATAAATTCGAGATTACAAAAAACATGTGAAGTCACAATATTAAACGTTTTATAAGAATCGAAAACATGTTCACTATAAATATTTAACTAATCGGACATTGCGATCATTAAATTCTCACAGGGTCACATGGTGAAAGGTCGAAGATAGTTGGGTCTTTCATTCAGGCCTTCTCGAAGATGAGCACCTTGTGAACCATTTAATCGACTGAGCTAGGTGGGATAAAGAGTCTTTCTCAGTGCACGTTTCATCAACATGCTTCATTGGCAGATCAAATTTTTTGCAGAGTTCAATTTTACCATACGGTCGACCAACATGTTCTTGATAAACAAAATGATTAATTTGCTACAATGTAGGATTATATTTTTAGGTGAGAATAAATATTCTTTTCAACTTTTGCAATTTTCCCTTTTGCAAAAGGATAGGCCCAAGTTGCCCCGACTCAATGTAATGGTGGGCCAGTTGTTTTTGAGTTGAATTAGGCCCAGAATATTGTGCTTTGGACTTTCTAATTTTGTATGCGGACATTATACCCATCACCTATTATTTGAAAAAAATTCAGGAAATACTTTGTAATGATTTTTTTTTTTTTTTTCATATTTTACTTTAAAAAATATAGTAAAATGAAAAACGAATGAATCACTTCACTCATTATAGGCAAATCAATCGTGAGTTAAATAGATGCCACCAAACACGCTCCTTCATATTTTTAAATAGATTTCCCTCCAATCATGCCCCTCCCCATAGTTTTTCAGTCTAAATACCCTAATTCTCGTCGATTCGTATTTATTCCAAAAAACTCCCATTCATAACACTCAAGAAATCAAAGAATCATATCTCACATATCCTCACCCATACTCACATCACTACTGATTGTATCAAAATATATTATAAAATCATTGTTTGATCATGAATAGAAGTATGATTGAGGTTTATCCGCCAATACATAAACCCTAATCACGCTCATAAAATCAGCACATTCAAACAAATTGAAGCCTTCCTTTTACAATAATCGTTGTTATTTGAAGTTTCATTGACAATATGTCAATATTTCAAACTTCATTGACAATATGTCATATTATCAAAGTTGCGGTTATCGAGTGATGTTGTACATAGTTATTCTTGGATTGTGGGTTGCAATAATGAAACCGATCAATAAACGAGGAAATAGTGGGAAATGCC